GAACCTCAAAAGAACAATGGGAAACACGACCAGAACATAGACCTGGTCAAAGACTAAATAACGTACATACACAGTTAGATTCAGATAACGAGAATAATAGCGATGGCTGTTATGAAATTGATTTTGTCAGACCTACTACTACTGCACCGCGAGTTTTACCTAGCACAGGTTATAGCAGAGTACAACAATTACGAGACGGTGACAATCGAGAGTCTAGGTACTTACAGCAACCAGATGACTCTCGACAGACACCTCAGTATACGAACCAACAGAGACCCGTTCAGGTTCAAGAGACACGAGACGATAACGACTCAGACTCCACGTACTCACAGCAATCCAGAGTTTTTCGGAACCAGAATAGACCATTCCGTAGGGGAAATCGAGATAGAAGTAACGGACGAGGTCGAGGAAGAGGACGAGGATATTATGACAATAACAGTTATTATCCACCAGAACTACTCGTCTTTTATGACTATGTACCTCGTCAATATCAGATACCGTTTCAGCAACAACAACAAAACAATTACGCGCAGCCTATTTTAGGCTATCCTACTGCAACAAAGAGAAATACTGTGTCTAATTCTTTTCAGGATCGTCAAATTAGCAATAATACTGCAACGAACAACAACAGTAATGTTCAAAATCAGCAGTATAATATAAACAAACAAAAAACGTTTCGTCAAAATAAAGTCAGTAATAGAGGTTATAATGATCCGAACTTGGTATATCGGAACAATACTCATCGAACTACTAATGTAGTGCCATCTCGGCCATTTCAGGATGGGTATAGTAGTGATCAGCAATTTCAAGGTCAAAGATATATACCCGATCCACCTACACTAAATCGATATGGATCTGATATAAACCTCGTTCGGAACAAAAATCAGCTACAGACGAGAGACGATCAGTATGAAGATATCTTTTCGAATACTATCGAAGAACAAACCCCTATGTACTTTGAACAAATTAATCAGAATTTGGCAAAAACCCAAAGTATCTGAAACCTTCTGTACTAGAGAAGATCTTTGCCGATTCGTCAGCTTTGACAAAAGTCCATCTCTCTAGGTCGATTTTGTAAACCTATCTAGTTTTTGTACACAAGCGATGGAGGCAAATATTTTATCTCATTCGGCTCATCATGCCACCAGTCAAAAAGTTACGCATCGCTTTTTTTCTCTTTTTTTTTTTTTTGTTTGTCGAGAAAAATCGTTTTTACTGGTATCATATTCATTTTAGGCGGTATTCAAGGCTTTTCGAATTCAAATAAGACTTTTAGTCGTAAACTAAATACAGATTCGGTATCGGCACAAAATACTGAGTCGAAGGAAGTGTATTACAAGTCAATTTGACGACTTTCATTTTTGCTCATTTTTTCAGGTATGTATCGGCTGCTATTGTTGTATACAGGTCAAAAAATGAAAGTTGTCAAATTGACTTGAAATACACTTCTTTCGACTCAGTATTGTGTGCCGATACTGAATCTGTATTTAGTTTACGACTAAAAGTCTTATTTGAATTCGAAAAGCCTTGAATACGGCCTAAAATGACTACGATAGTATAAAAGTTGGTAATATAAAACTTCAGTTTAAAAGTATCAAAGTATAAAAGCTATAAAAGGATAAAAGTTTAAAAGTCAGAAAAGCACGAAAGTTTAAAATTCAGAAAGCAATAAAAGTATAAAAGCTATAAAAGTCGTAAAAGCACAAAAGTTTAAAAGTATAAAAGCTATAAAAGTCTAAAAGCCAGAAAAGCACAAAAGTTTAGAAGTCACAAAAGTATAAAAGTTTAAAATTCA